AGCCACCATGCCTGGCCTCCCATTGTGTATTTTTGGTAGCTTTGTTAAAAATCTGTATTTGTATGGGCTTAGTTTCGAGTTCTTTGTTCTTGTCCATTGATTGAATGGTTGTCTTTATGCAAATACTATACTGTTTCAATTACTGTAGCTTTGCAATACATTTTGAAATCAGGAAGCATGATGCCTCTAGTCTTCCTCATCTTTAAGATTGCTTTGGCTATTTTGGGTTGGTTGTGGTTCCATATGCATTTTAGGATTTTTTTTTCTGTTTCTATAAGAAAAATGCCAATGGGATTTTCATAGAGATCTCATTGAATCTGTAGATCACCTTGGGTAGTATGGATATTTTAACAATATTAAGTCTTACAATCCATGAACATGGGATGTCTTTCCATTTATTGGAGTTGTCTTTAATTTCTTTCATCAGTTTTTAAAAATAGCTGTTAGTGTATAAGGCTTTCACCTCCTTAGTTTGGTTTAATAAGTATTTTATTCTTAAATGTTTTTGTAAGTGGAATGTTTTCTTAATTTCCTGTTTGAATAGTTTGTTGTTAGTGTGTAGAACATAACTGATTTTTGTATCCTAACTTTATTGACTTTGTTAGTTCTAGAAGGGTTTTTGTGTGTGTGTGGAGGCTTTAGTTTTCTACTTGGAAGATTATATCATCTGAAAAGATAAATCATTTTACTTCTTTCTTTCTGCTTTCAATGCCTTTTATTTCTTTCTCTTGCCTAATTGCCCTGGCTAGGACTTCCAGTGCTATGTTGAATACAAGTGGCAAGATTGGACATCTTTGCCTTGTTCCTGCACTTTTTTGTTTTTCACTATGAAATGTGATGCTAGCTGTGGACTTTTCATATGTAATCAAAATTATGTTGAGATAATTTTTTCTATTTCTAGTATTTGAGAGTTTTTATGAAAGGATGTTTAATTTTGTCAAGTGCTTTTTCTGCATCTATAGAAATGATCATGTAATTTTTTTTTATTCTGTTAATGTGGTGTATCATATTAATACATTAATTGATTTTTGTGTGTTGAACCACTGTTGATTACCAGGAAAAAAAATCCTCCTTGATCATAAGGTGTGATCCTTTTAATGTCCTCTTGAATTTGGTTTGCTAGTATTTTGTTAAAAATTTTTGCATTCATGTTCATCACAGATATTGGCTTGTAATTTTTTTTTGCAATGTCTTTGGCATAGGTATCAGGCTAATGCTGGTCTCATAGAATAAGTTTGGAAGTGTTCCCTCCTCAATTTCTTGGAAGAGTTTGAGAGTGATTGACATTAATTCTTTAAATGTTTTTGATAGCATTCACCAGTGAAGTCATCTGGTTCTGGGCTTTTCTTTGTTAGGAGGTTTTTTTATTATTCATTCAATCCCATTAGTTATAGATTTGTTCATATTTTCTATTTTTTTATTATTCAGTCTTGGTGGGTTATATATTTCTTGGAGTTTATCCATTTCTTCTAAGTTATCCAATTGGTGGGAGTATAATTGTTCAGAGTAGTCTCTTAATGATCCTTTGTATGGTATCAGTTATAATGGTATGTTGTAATGTGTCCTCTTTCATTTCTGATTTTGTCGACTTAAATCTTTTTTCTTAATTACTCTGAAGATTTGTTAGTTTTGTAAATTTTTTCCAAAAAAGCTTTTAGTTTCAAGTTTTTTTTTCTATTTTTAAAATTCTCACCTTTATTTCTGCTTCAATCTTTATTATTTCCTTCCTTCTGCTAACTTTGGGCTTCTTCTTTATTCTTTTTTTCAGATTCTACAGGTATAAGAGTAGGTTATTGGTTTTCTTTCTTTTTCTTTTTTTAAATGTAGCTGTTTATCACTATAAACTATCCTCTTAGAACCGCTTTTGCTGTAGCCCATCGGTTTTGTTATATTGTGTTTTCATTTTAATTTGTCTTAAGATGATTTTCCTTTCTTTTTTTCCTTTGACCCATAGGCCGGGAGTGTGTTGTTTGAGAGTGTGCTTCAGAATTTCTCTTTGGTACTTTTTTACATTTTCTGAGTCTTTATTGAAATTCTAACATTGTTCATGCGTTGTTCTGACCTCATTGAATGTCTTTATGATGGTTATTTTTAATTCTCTTGTCAGATAAATAAATTTCCCTTTCATTAGGGTCAGTTTCTGAAGATTTATCATGTTCCTTTGTTACATATTTCTCTATTTATTTTTTGACTCTTATTGTTGATATCTACACATTAGGAAAAAACAGCAACCTCTCTTAGTCTTTACAGACTCTTTGTACGGGAGAAGATCTTCACTAGTCAGTGTAGCAGAGATTCTGAGAATCTCTTTCATGCTAGTACAAACTGCTGTTTTTGTTCTTAGCAGTCCCTAGGCATGTAGGGTCCTATCTGGTCCATCTGGTTCTTATGCTGTGTCCTATCAGTGCTCCAGGACAGATGAGACAGAAGCCAATCCCGTGGGCAGCCCTCAGAAATGTTAGAATGTTGGATATGTGATCTACTGCTTCTCCCCCAGCCCTGCACTGGGAGAAGCTGGGCTCTGGAGTTTTCTCCAACTCATTTCATGCTGAGCCTTAGGGAGTGAGTATGGCAACTACTTTTGTGCTTGTTCAAACTGCTGTGGCTGTTATCACTGGCCCCCTGTCATCTAGAATGTTCTAGATTCCATCAGTGCTACATGGGTGGCAAGACAAAAGACAGTTCCTAGGGCAGCTCTTAGAAAAGTTGGAATGTTAGATACACAAGCTAACTTTTTCCTTCCTTAAGGAGTGGTGGGGAGCTGCAGGTATTCTTAGGATCATATGGTGCTGTATCGGAGGTATATAATTGCTCTTGGAGATTATGGTGAGAGGGTATCTCCAATTTTTTTTTATCAGGTTTGATGTGGCTAGTTTCATACTTGTGCAGGTGCAGAGCATTGCACCTAGTGTCAGGATTTCTTACAAAGGGAATTTGTATATTATTGTTGAATCAGTGTGTTTATATGGGGAAGGAGGGTTCAGGGCTTCCTATTTTTCCATCTTGCTGATGTCCACCCTGTTACTTATTTTTCCTAAGTTGGAAAAATGTAAATCAGATACTCATTTTGGAAACACAATTATCTGACTTTAATGGGTCTTTGAACTGGGTTTGAGAAATATAGACAAACTCAACACTCTTATCTTAACATTAAAGTAGACATCTCAAGTCCCTTTTTAATATTTTTAGTTTGGAATACTTTCTAGTCTGTTGGGATAATTAATTTCTTTTTCTATTTCTGCATATCAAATATTGCTTTAAAGATTTCCTTCAACTGTGTTACTTAGAGATTGAATAGGGAAATATTTTGTCTTTTGATCAACAGTTTTAGGCTTAAAAAATTAGATAAGTATGCTTTTTGCTTGTACAGCAGACAGACTTCATATTAGATAATTCATGAATTTGTAGTCCATTGAAATGTTTATCTTCCAGTTTTCAGAGGGCTTTTTTGTTTGTGTTAGAATTCTTTCAAATCATTTTATATTTTAATGGATTATTTTAGAAGAATACTTGTTACTCTCAGCTTGTATTTTTATTGTGAATGTGATTATCTATGACTGAGGGGCATATTCCTGTGTGTATTTCTAATTCAGCATCAAATAATTATTTCTGTGTAGGTATATATGTTACACACATATTTTATACATAAGCATGCACACATCTTGCATATATAGATGTGTACTTATATGTGTACAAATGTGAATCATATTTATGTTTGTGATATACATTTATCTGTATATTCCTGTTTATATACATATAAATGTGTATATCCATATCTTTGCAGTAGTGTATAAAGTACCTTGACTTCTTTTCAACTTAAAATACTCGGAGACCTTAAAGAATTATATTTCTTTAAATATTTAATAAGATTTACTTGAATTTAAAATTTTTTCATTTATTTTGCTAACATTTGGAAATATTTTAATGGTATTTGTTAAGAAATTATATAGGATGGATATTGACTAGCATGCAGTGTTCTATTAATATATTTGCCTCTGTGGTTTCACAATTACGTTATTTTAAGCGTTTTTGAGAGTATGTTTTAGTTAATATAGTACATATATATTTTTCTTAGTTTTAATCAAAAGTAAAATGGTTGGGAAATATAATCACTTGTTTTCCAGTTACGTCTTATAGAAAGAATAAGTTAAGAAATGTGAATAAATTGAGCAAATTAATAAAATATTAATCTACCTTATGGAGGATTTTAAAATAATTTTAATTATAAAATAATGTATTTTAATATAGTTCAGAAATAAAAGTCCTCCCTCTCTACTATCAAATACCTCAGGTACATTCTTAGGGTAGCTACTGTTAACCATTTCTTAAATAGCTTTCCAGATATGTTCTGTGCATATACAAGTATATATGTATGGGTATATATTTGAGCGTATGATAGAATTGTGCATACACATACAATACACAAACAACAAAAGATCTACATGTAGTCTTTTAAAAAGTACTAATGTACTTTTATAAGGTATTGTATTTTTTAAGGTATAATATGAATTAAGTGTATTCTCCATATGCATTGAGAAAAGTGGGTAAATTGATGTGCACAATAAAAATGTCTTCTTTTATGTTTATTTGAAGTTTCTTTTCTGATCTAGTGGCATAGAAGTAAAGTTTTTAAATGTAGTTTAATAACAGGTTATATTTTTAAAACCTTATTTTTTTAAAAACAAAAATTTTTAATTTGTGTATAATATTTTACCCTTAATATATGTTCTTTATATCCATCATACTGGAAATAGTGGGTTATCTTTGGGGAGCAGGATTATTGTGAATGTTGTATGTGGGGAGGGCAGGCATTCTCTTATTTCTGTACTGTGATACCATATTGTTTGAGGTGGGTCTTCTTCTAAGCAATGAGTATGTTCTACTTTTATTAAAATGATGATAGAAAGTGATTTTAAAGCATGTGGTGACATAAAGTCATGTTTAAAAAAAATATTCTCCAAACTGAGCTCATTGTGTGGCTTTACTAATTTTGGTTTTAGGCTTGTGTGGACATAAGAGCTAGTTCAGTGTTTTGGCAGCAAATGGAGTTTGTCGATAGCCTGCATGGCCAACCCAAGATGCCAGAATGGTTATCTACACACCCTTCTCATGGCAATCGAGTTGAGCACTTGGATAGACTTATACCTCAGGTGAGCTGACACCATAAAAGGAAGGATATTATTTTTACTGTATCATTTATTTGTAATGCTGTCATTTCTTTTGCTTGGTAAAAAGAGTTCTAGTCTATTAACTGTTTTGATTACTATAATTATGGATGATTAGTTTTCAAAAAGTTTGACTGAAAAGCAAAATTCTGCTTGTCTACAAGTCTTAGAGAATAAATTACTGTGTATGGTTGACTTTTCTTACTAGTGAAGGTTTAACCCCTTTAATATGAGACTTTAATTTTAACTGACTTGATGAAAGTTTAAAACCCAAGGCATATTACGTTTTTTAAACATTGATGATAATTTAATCTTTCCTTGGTGATTTAAATGTTTTGTTAAAAATACCAGTTAATGAGTTGTTTAAAAGTTTTGGGTCAAGTGGATATTAATTGTAGTAGTGATGCTGGAATTCGTTTTTTGAGGAAAAATCTCTTCATGTTAGTTTGTTTCTGGTTGTTTATTTCTTTACAAGGATAAGAGTGAACGATTTGCTCTCTGGCTTTTCTTTTTGTAGAATTCATTAGTAGGTCAAGCTGAGGCAGCTTTCTTCCAAGTAGTTTTCAGTATCCTCTGAAAGTCTTTTGATCTGTTGACATCATTCCAGATGTGTTTCATGGTTTCCATATCAGTGCAAAATGGATATTAGGCATCTCTGAGCCAGCTTACATGCCCTCTTCTTTCTCACTTGTATTAAATTTTGGTGGCTTGTTAGGAAAGCAGAACATTTTTTTAGCAATTTAAGAATTGGTACTGGGCCATGTGCTAATGGATAGCACAATAGATCAGGTATATTATAGAAATACCTTTCTCATGCCTGTAGTCCTAGCACTTTTGGAGGCCAGAGGTGGGTAAATCACCTGAGGTCAGGAGTTTGAAACCAGCCTGGCCAACTGGCGAAACCCCGTCTCTACTAAAAATACAAAAATTAGCTGGGCATGGTGGTGTGCACCTGTAGTAGCCACTCAGGAGGCTGAGGCAGGAGAATCACTTGAACCCTGGAGGCAGAGGTTGCAGTGAGCTGAGATCGCGCCATTGCACTCCAGTCTGGGTGACAGAGTAAGACTCTGTCTCAAAAAAAAAAAAAAAAGGAAGTCTTTTTCAGTATGACTTCAAATTCAGCCCAACAAATGAACAAATACTGAGTACCTCTTAAAAGAAAGAAATGATGCTAGATGTGGGGTATACAAAGAGGAATAAGACATGGTTATTGGTATTTACAGGATGCTAAGATACATACACAATGATTTTTAATACAATGATGTGATTTATCCTAAGAAAAATAAAAATTTAGTGGTATGCAGTTTGAAGGAAGATGAATCCGCATCTAGTTTGGGATAAGAAACTAGTGCAAGATTTATTCATTCATTTTATCAATATTTACTGATGCTTATTGATAATCTACTATTCTATATTCTCTTGCTAGGAAATGAACAAAGAACACAACAGTCTGTTCTCTTGGAGTTAACATTCTAGTTAAGTAATGCAAATAAGAAACAAACATATAGTATGCCAAGCAATAAAAAGCACTTTGGGAAAAAATAAAGCAGGTGAAAGGTATTAGAGAAGGGCAGGCAGCAGAGAAGGGGTACTAGTCGTTGTTCCGTTGTCAAGGAAGGCCTCACTGATCAGAGTCGGGAAGGAAGCGCGGAAACAAGTCTTGTAGCTGTCTGGAGGGAGAGGGAGCCTTTCAGGCTGAGGAAGCTGCTGATGCAGAGGACCTGAAGTGAGAGTGTGTTTGATGTGTTCAAGGAGTAGCAAGGAAGACAGTGGGGCTGAAGGGAGTAAAGGAGAGGAAGAACAGTTTAAGATGAGGTGAAGGGGGACCAGACCACGAAGGTTCTTCTAAGCCATTGTAAGAACTTGACTTTCACTTCAAGTGATGGGGAAGCTAGTCAAGGATATTGATCAGATGAGTGACTTGATTTGACTCATGTTTTATTGTGATCCACGGGTATTACTGTGTGGAGAGTAGACTGTAGTGGGGCAATGATGGAGTCAGGGAGATTATTTAGGATACTCTTACCATAATCCTGGTAACAGATGACAGTGGCTTAGACAAAGATATCTGGTAGCAGGAAAGGGAGAGAGAATTGGTCAGATTCTGGATATATTTTGAGAGGAGTGATGACAGGATTCGTTGGTAGTTTAGGCATACTTTGTGCCTTTTGTGAGCATTGAGGACAGTCGAGCATGGCTTCTTAACACCGATTTTAGTTTGTTCAGGTTGCTATAACAAAATACCATAGACTGGGTGGCTTATAAACAATAGAAACTTACTTCACGCAGTTGGGGAGGCTCTGACATCTTAGATCCGGTTTCCAACAGATTTGGTGGGTGGTGAGGGCCCACTTCCCAGCTCATAAATGGCCATCTTCTCCTTATAACCTTACATGCTAAAAAGGGCAAGAGAGTTCTCAATAGCCTCTTCTATAAGGGCACTAACCCATTTATGAGGGCTCCACCCTTATGACCTAATCGTCTCCCAAAGGCCCTCACCTTCTGATGCCATCACATTGGGAGTTGGAATTTCAACATGAATTCTGGGGGGACACAGGCATTCAGTCTATATCAGTACCTATCTTAACTAGATTTAATTTATATTCTTAATTTGAAGAAAAAATATTTGAGAAAGAAATAGCAGTGAAATTTACCTGATATAATATGTAGTAATTATTCCTCTTAAAAGGGTAGTATAGGCATGGGACATCATGTATTTCATCAGTAACTGATTTGTACTGAGGATCACTGACTGTAAGGGGTTCCTTCATGCTATCCAAGGCCCCAGGGACTTTATTGCACCCTGGAAGGCCTCGGCCTGTCTATAAAGGCATAGTAACAGTATGATTTTCTCCTGGATTTTTTTTCTTTTTCTTTTTGCTCAATGAAATTCTAAAAATACGTGGTTTGTTTAAATTGGATAATGAATTCTGTTAGCCAGCTTTTAATGTGAAGACTTCTAAATTTGGAATTGTCATTTCATCATCAAATTACTGAGCATTTTTGGAGAGGTGAAAACTGTGCTTTAGAGAAGTCTTTAATAATGAATTGATTAGTGAGTAGGAAGAAAAATCACTAAAGAAACAAATGTTATTTGGGAGCCAATGATGAAGACAAAGAAATGAGACATTTTTCTTCTAAAAATAAACTATCCTAGTTCAGAAACTTAATTTGAAAACCTCATATAATTTCTTATATTCCTCACCCCAAGTGATTCAGTTCAATTTCAGGGTAATAAAACTTTATTGAAATATTGGGAATAACTCAGTGGTTGAAGTGAAACTGATAGTACACGGGTATATTGTTAATTAGAATACACAGTCATAACTCAAAGATTGGAATTCCCTATTATCATAGTCTAATTTCTATAATGAAAGAAGGCAGTTTCTCAGGCAGTTTATAGAATTAAGTGAGTCTTTATACTGCTACTACATTTTAAAATTATATTTTATGTAGCATTTTTTTTCTACTCAAATGAGTACATTATGTTCTACTTAAGGATTCTGCCCTTCAACATCTCTAGCAGTTTGGTGAAGTGATGTTCCCCTCAAAGGCAGTTGTAAATACAGCACTAGAGAGCACAGACAAGTCCAGGCCAGAGATGAAGATTTCAGAGTTTCAGAGTCATCTTAAAAAAAAGCGATAGTTGAAGCAATGAGAATGGATGAGTTCATGTAGGAAGTGATTAGAGAAAATGTTCAAAGTAATAGTATTACATATTTTCCACATTTATGGGTGGGAGGAAGACAGAGCCTATGTTGGATCAGATTCATTGGAGGAGAACCAAGAAAGTAGGATTCTGTGATTAGAACACAAATTTTGATCATTTGATTTTTAAGCTTTAGCTTATTGAAGATTGTGTATTTTCGTATTAGATCCCTTGACTAGTGTTACAAAAATGTATTGTTTCTTACTGTAGCTTATCAACTTTTAAGATGTTTTAAATGTACACTTTATGCATTCAACAGATATTTATTGATCACCTGTTATATGCCAGGTTGTAGGTGATATATGAATAGACAAAAATCCCTGTCCTCATGAAGCTTATTCTGCAATAAAGGGAGACAGATAGTAAATTCAGTACTGGGGGTAGGAGTAGGGAGCAAAGGAGAGGGAGACAGCTCTCTCATGTCTCTTCTTATAAAACTATTAATCCTATTGGATCAGGACCTCACCCTTAAGAATTCATTAAACCTTAGTAACTTCCTTTAAGGCCTTATTTCCAAATATAGTTACACTGGAGGTTGGGACTTCAAAATATGAATTTTATAGGAAAACATGAGTCCTTAGTAGACAGTTATGTGTGAGCAGAGATGGGAGGGGTGCTGGAGTATCAGTGTAAAATGAGGTCAGTCAGCAACCAGAGAAGGTTTCACTGAGAAGCTGATACTCGAACACAGACTTGAAATAAGTGAAGGAGCCTGGCTTGTGGCTGTCTTGGGGAAGAGTTCAAGGCCATGGGGCAGGAGCAATAACAAGAAAACTAGTGTAGGTTTAATGGGGTGAGCAAGGGAATGGGGAGGGCATGGGCCTTATTGCTCCTGTAAGGACTTTGGCTTTTGTTCACAGAGATGGGACACTAGTGGAGGGATTTGAGCAGAGGACTGGAGGAGTGACAGGGTCACTTATGTTTGAAAAGGATGTGACCTACAAAGCAGTACAATAATATAGTTTTGGATCATTTTAGCATAGTATATTGTTCAGAAAATAGATTAGTTCCTTTCTTGCTTTGTTTAAGTCAAGTTAACACCTCACATTAGAAAAAAAAGCAAACCTTTTTTCACATTTGCTTTTTTTTAAATGTGAATTTCAAGATAAAACGTGTAGATTGCCTGGTTAAATATAATCTTGTGATGTACTAGCATTTAAAAAGGGTAAATACAGGTTTGTAGTAATACTCTTTGTAGTTAATAAGCTGATAGATTAATTTTATGTACCTGAAATAATGAGTTAAACACATATTCCATATATTTTGATTATCCTAA